TCTGCAACTGTTATCTATGTCACAAAACCTTCTTCTCTAAAAGTGTATTAAGTTACTTTTTGCTTCTTCTCGGTTCCCTTGCCTTCTTGCAGAAGAGTACCATTTTAAATTTTTAAAAACCCAATAAAATCATGAAGGGGAAAAAAAAACGGTAAAATCAAACCTTGGTCTCTTAAAGGGAAACGGAACCATTTTTTTCACCGTTCTATTATCGGAGACTGCAAGAAAGAAGCTATTCATTAAAGTTGCATGGTATCCTTGTAGAGAAGGATGTATCCATATACAGGTAGTCCTCGACTTACAACAGTTCATTTAGTGACCGAAGTTACAACGGCGCTGAAAAAAAAGCGACTTATGACTATTTTTCACACTTACAACCGTTGCAGCATCCTCATAGTCACATGATCAAAATTCAGTGTTCAGTTTCTGTGACCTTCTTACCAAGCAAAATATAGGGGAAAATCAGATTCACTTAACAACCATGTGAGTAACTAAACAACTGCAGTGATTCACTTAACAACTGTGGCAAGAAAGGTCGTAAAATGGGGGCAAACTTCACTTAACAAATGTTTCACTTAGCCACAGAAATTTTGGACTCCGTTGCGGTCGTAAGTCGAGGACTACCTGTATATTATACAGAAAGACCTTGGCACTAGACCGAATCATTGCTTGATAATGTAGCACAATATGAAGTAATATGTTCAATCATTTTAATACTTGGAAGTGAATGTGGAAAAAATGGTGACTCAGCTAATTTAGTAACAAATGGGACCTGTCTTGGCTGCAGAGAAGATAGAGCTAATGGAGAAAAGGGCTATCATTTTGATGTAGACCTATTCTTAAAATCAGATATGACCTTCTTAAAAAATCTACATATGGAATTAGAATTAGAATAGAATAGAATAGAATAGAATAGAATAGAATAGAATAGAATAGAATAGAATAGAATAGAATAGGACTCTTTATTGTCACTTTGAATGTACACTAATCAGCATACATTAAAATGAATTTTCATTGCATCTAGTTCTCAAAGGGTCACCACCTCCAATATACCTTACATAACCATGACAGAATAAATAAATACAAAATTATGCATATACCCACATATATTATGTGACACAAAGAAACAACGCAGTCTGGTTCGGATGTTTACATGTAGATGGTGAGAAAAACGAATCTTGCAAGTTTACCAGACGGATGGCATAGGGAACTTAGCTGTTACAGAATCTGGTAGTCCTGCTAGAAATACTTTGAAACCTCCTCCCAGAGGGGAGCACCAGAAACAGGCCATGAAGTGGGTGTGTGGGGTCTCTAACCATGCTTTGAACTCTAAACACATAGCACTTATAAGCAGTATCCTGAATAACAAGAAGCGAGCTTTCTGTAAACTTCTCGGCTGTCCTCACCACTCTCTGTATGGACTTTCTATCTGGGGCACTGCTGCCACGAAACCAAACAGTGATGCAGTTTGTTAAAACGCTCTCAGTCTTATAAGTTTATAAGCAGTATCCTGAATGATAGGGAAGCAAGCTTCTAATATTCCTATACATACGTCTCCTTCGGCATCTCTCCATTGCTTTGACAAACATACCGCAGATACATGATCTCTATTTACAATAAATAACCTGTGAAGATGCTCACAAACATGCCTGCTTATCTTGAGAAGCAATTATGTATACATTCTGCATCACACTTGCCCTGTTTCCCCGGAGAATGGAGGGTGTTCTACATGTCTTTTTTTTTTTCCAGATTAAAAGTATATAAAATTTTATTACCCATTATATGAACACATTTAGTGTTTGCAATGTTGAAAGGATCTCAAATTCCAGGGGAAGGGAACTGGTCAAGCTAGAAGTCAATCCAGTCCCAAGGCTTTTTCCTTTTTATTTCCTTGGCAACGGTAACCATGGTTACCAGCATCTGTTTGAAGATGTAAGGGGCAAGCCAGTTCAACAGCAGCAGCAGCCAAGCCCATGAATTAATATAATTATTTTATAGTGTGTTGTTTTTATTCACCAAAATGTTTGGGTTAGGGTTCTGAGTTTAAAAAGGATTAAATGAAATTAAGCGGGGAGCAAGTTTTTGAAGGAAAAATATAAATTAGCAGAGAAGTCCTCAACTTACAGCCATTCCTTTAGCTACTTTTCAAAGTTACAAGAATACTTGAAAGTCCTCACATTTATGACCACCGCAGGTCAAAATTCAGCCGCTTGGCAACTGGCAAGTATTTACAACAATTGCTGTTGATTGTCAAGATGGTTGTTAAGATTTAACAATGGCTTAACAACCACTTAAAAATTGTAAGAAAAAAGGTCATAAAATCGGCTGTAACTCACTTAGCAATCACCTTACTTAGCAATAGAAATTATAGAATAGAATAGAACAGTGATGGCTAACCTTTTTGCCGGTGCGTGCCAAAAGCGGGGGGAGCACGGGGGGTTCACACGTGTGCGTGCCCACACCCATAATTCAATGCCCCCCATGTATGTGTGAGCAACCCCCCCACGCGACCCACGCTTTTGGCACACGATGGCACAGTGGGCTCGATAGGCCCATTTTTCACCCTCCCCAGGCTCCAGAGTCTGTCTTGGAGCCTGGGGAGGGTGAAAATGGCCTCCCTCCCCCCCCGAGGCCCTCCGGAGGCCGGAAATGGCCCATTTCCCGACTTCCAGTGGGCCCGGAAGGCCTGAAAATCGGGTGGTCGGTGCACACATGTACACTGGTGCTGAGCTAGGGCAACGCTTGCGTGCCCACAGATATGGCTCTGTGTGCCACCTGTGGCACGCGTGCCATAGGTTCGCCATCACGGGAATAGAATAATAGAGTTATTAGAAATTATGGTCCCAGTCGTGGACTATCTATTCACGTAGCCCTCAACATACAATCAAAATTGAGCCCAAAATTTCTGTTGCTAACCAAAACAGTTCTTGAGGGAGATTTGCCCCATTTTATGACCTCGTTGCTGCAGTTGTTAAGCGAATCATGCAATCGTTCAGTGAATCTGGTTCCCCCCCAGTAACTTTGCTTGTTGGAAGGTTACTAATGGTGATCACATGACCCCTGGGACAGTGCAACAGTCATGTTGTACATGCCAGTTGCCAGGCAGTTGGACTTTGATCACGTGACCATGGGGATGCTGCATTAGTCATAAGTGTGTAAAATGGTCGTAAGTCCCTTTTTTTCAGTGGCATGGCAACTTCAGTCACTAAATGAATGGTTTTAAGCTTTGGACTACCTGTACTTCATTTCCAATTATAACTCATGATGAAACCCCTGGTCTATAAAGAATGCAAGGAAATGACTTCTCCATCTTGCATGCTTGCAATCTACGTGCGCTTAAAGATGCTACATTTTTGGCAGCCCCTGTCATAACCTGTTAAAATTGCTTCAAAAGCTAAAGTGTGGCTAACAGTAAGCTCTTTCTGCTTCTCCTCCTCCTCTTCCTTTCTGAGAAAGATTTTCCAAAAGAAAAAGGCTACAGAGATCTTAAGCTTTTCCCTTTGCGTTACGTTTTTCCTCTTGAATGAACAATTTAGTGTCTTGGCTGATGTGACCCCTATTTAGTTCAGTCCAGCTTCCTCCTCCTCCTCCTCTATCCATGAGCTCAAAACCTAGAGAGGGGCTATCTCAGAAAGAAAGAGGAAACTACTGCATCATCTTGGATGAGATTTCACCTAATTATTATTTTGGTCTGGCTTTTCCATTACATCCCTCTCTCCTACTGCCCTGTGACTTGCACTCTCTGCTTTCTCACTCATTAATAAATGCTAACTATAGGTCTAGCAGAGTGTGAGAACCATCAGCTGTCAGACTTCACAGGACCAATCCCATATTTTCATCTGTCTGAGCCCGGCTTGCATGCTTCACTCTTTAGATGAGCAAAAGGCAGGGGTGAAATGCTCCCAGTTCGGACCGGTTCGACCGAAACGATAGCGATGGCGGCGTGAGGCTCCGCCCACCCGCCCAGTCCTCGTTACTTCCTGGTTTTAACCAGGAAATAACCTGTTTTTTACCCTCTGCGCATGCGCAGAACGGTTTGCGCATGCACAGAGGGTCTGCGTGTGGTGCGTGCACTTCCGAACTGGTTGGGAAGGTAAGTAGATTTCAGCCCTGGCAAAAGGGCTTCACAAAATCATGAATAGGAATTCTCCGCCTGGGGTTTCAAGGACTAGATCTCGTTGAGGCACAGAATAGATTAGGTTAGGTTAGGTTAGATTAGATTAGATTAGATTAGATTAGATTAGATTAGATTAGATTAGATTAGATTAACAGAGTTGGAAGGGACCTTGTAGGTCATCTAGTCCAACCCTCTGCCCAAGCAGGAGATCCTGCACCATTTCTGACAAATGGCAGTCCGATCTCTTCTTGAAAGCCTCCAGTGATGAAACCCCCACAATGTCTGAAGGCAACTTCTGTTCCATTGGTTGATTGTTCTCTCTGTCAGAAAATTTCTCCTTATTTCTCCTTGATCAGTTTCCATCCATTATTCCTTGTCTGGCCTTCAGGTGCCTTGGAAAATAGCTTGTCCCCCTCTTCTCTGTAGCAGCTCCTCAACTATTGGAAGACTGCTATCATGTCTCCCCTGGTCCTTCTCTTCACTAACCTAGCCATGCCCAGTTCCTCCAACCGTTCTTCGTATATTTTAGGCTCCAGTCTCCTAATCATCCTGGTTGCTCTTCTCTGCACTTTTTCTAGAGTCTCAACATCTTTTTTATAGTGTGGTGACCAAAACTGGATGCAGTATTCTAGGTGTGGTCTTACTAAGGCTTTATAAAGTGGTATTGGTACCTCACTTGATCTTGATTGTATCCCTCTGTTAATGCAATTTAGGATTGCATTTGGCTTTTTTGGCTGCCTCTGCACAAAACATGCTTGGTTCATGTTTGCTGAGTTTTTCATTTTCTAACTATTTTGACACCCAAGTTAACTGAGCTCAAAACTTTTGGTTTATGTTCCCAATTTAACTTATTCCGTTGACCTCTCTATGTTTTAATTCACAGCCACCTCCACAGATCTATGACAAGCAGTTGGATGAAAGAGAACACACAATTGAAGAGTGGAAAGGTAATTTTTACCTATACAAGGTATAACATCTGATTCTGCACTTGATATCTGTCCTTGACCTCTGCCTCCCCGCCTCCTGATGCCTCCTGCACTCCATGGGGATTGCATATGTACCCAGAGCATGCTCAATAATTCTTGAGAAGTTTGAGAATGTGTTTGAATATTAGTAGTTTGGGTTAGTAGTTAGGCTGTTGGTTTGAGCTTCAAGCTTGGCAATTTGGTTGCACGCGTTTCATCACCATTCGAGGAGACATCGTCAGTGCCTTTTGACTTGTGCTCATCTGTCAGAATATAGGTCTTTAAAGATCTTTTTATGAGATGCAAATTAGTCTGAATGTTGTTTGTTCGGATATTTCTGAGTCATGGTCTGATTTCAGACTGTTTGATTGGCTGGCTGTTGTTGGGCTGTAGTTAAGTACCATCTGTGCGGTGCAGATTAGGATTAGAGTTGTTATCTCAGTGCTTCTGAGTCAGGGTCTGGTTTCGGTTTGTTTGCAATCAGCCACTCAAACTATCAAAGAAGCTGAAACCAGACCATGATGTCTCTTCGAATGGTGACAAAACATTTGCAACCAAGTTTGAGAATCTTCCTTTACTTGTGTGGTTTTTTTTCCTCTTTCCAAAAAATGTTTTGTATCTCTTGAAAAACCTAGTGGTTTTTCCAGACCTACTAAGATGTTCTTCTGAAGATCTTCTGACTCAATGTTGTCATGTTGGCAGAAGAAGGATACACATCCTCCAGAGCCTGGGGAGGCTGTTTTCGCCCTCCTGGAGGCTTGAGGAAAGCCTCCGGAACCCAGGGAGGGCAAAAATGCCGCCACCACCCCACTGTCGTGCAGGAGGCCAACTAGCCCATGCCCACCATGGACATGCCCACCCAGCAACCAGGCAGAGAACCCTACCCCTGGTCATAAGTGTAGGAAAATGGTCATAAATCACTTTTTTCTGTGTGGTTGTAACTTTAATCTGTCATTAAATGAACAGTTGTAAAACGAGGGCTACCTGTAATTCTTCTGTTCTTCAAGGCAGTTGACTTGACTCAAGGGGAGGAGTAGGACAGATGATAGATGGGAAAAACATAGTTGGCTATTCATTTTTGTGGTCTTGTTTAGAAGGTTTTTATTCACTGTCAAGAGTGGTTTTAAATAATATGGGGAACTAATAAAACTTATTTTAATATGGGGAAGTAATAAAACATCTTTATAACATGCTCCTTTGTCTCTTGCAGAATTAATCTACAAGGAAGTAATGAATTCTGAAGAAAAGACTAAAAATGGTGTAGTAAAAGGACAACCTTCTCCCTCAGGTACTCAGTCCTAGTGAATGACAATATTTTACATGGTTACAGACCTTAAGGCAGATCCTTTTCTTCATCAACATAATAATATTAATAATAATAACAACAACAACAACTTTATTGTCATTGTACGTATATACACAGTATACCCATACAACAAAATTCACTTAACACCCAAAGACCAGATCCAACACACATAACAATCCCCAAACACCCACCCACCCACCCACCACAAATTCCCCACCCCTAAACCACCCAAACATCCATACAACAGACCAAGTAATGCTGTCCAACAGCTCACTGATGGTGGCCCTTTAGTTCATTGTTGAGTGCAGTTATAGCTCTGGGATAAAAACTATTCAGAAAACGTGTGGTCCGAGTTTTAATTCTTCTGTATCTTCTGCCCAAAGGCAATTAGAAATAGTACCTAAAAACAGTAGATTTTCATTGATTGGAAGCTAGGATGTATTCCAAGTAATTTTATAGTCTTTTCCAACTTGGTCCCTTTTAAATATATAGGTCTATGCAGATGTGTTTATGGACCCATAACTCCAGAATTCCCAGCTAGTATTTTGAGAAGTTGTAGAAGGCTGAGATGGAGCACAAGAAGAAGATAAGCTATATTAACTGAACTCGGTTAAAAAAAGACTTGTATTAACTCTCAGCTAATCCGTTTATCTAGGAATAAACCCTGCAGAATTAATTGGGGGCTTACTTCTAAATAACAATATATCAAACTGCACTGATTTGCTTTCAGAACTTTGAATGAATGAAGCTAGTTTTCCCATGTCATGTATTAATTCAGTGTTCAATGAAACATTAAGGTTCTGTAATCAGTTCCTTAGCCATCATTAAGGGATTGACATACAGGTTTGTGGTATCTTGTGCCTATTCCCACACTCGGTTTTTTTTGTTTTTTTTTACTTCAGCTACAGGTTTATCGCATACTTTTCTTTGTTCTCCGTCATTATGTCAGAAATTATTTCTGCATTGTTTTTCTCAATTAATGTCAGGTCTACTCAATATTCAATTTAACACGCTATGTATGTGACGTCCCAGAAGTTTGTTATATCTCCTTTATTTGTTTCTTTGTCTTTGCAGTTTGCTAGGAATATCAAAACTTGGTGTGTTTGTGGGCATGGGTCAGGGTGGATAAAAATCTATGCTTTTTAAAATCAATCAATCAATCAATCAGATTATTTAAATTGGATTTTTTAAAATTTAAATCGGATTTATTTTTTTTTATCAAATTTATTTTAATAAAATGCTTTTGGAGTAAAAGTCTACTAAAGATAGTTATCTATTTAAGATACATTAATAATTTAGTTTATTAAGCATGAAATAGAGCTTAGTTATGTAGCATGAGGCTGTATATTCTGCAATATTAGGACTGTCAGTGAGTCAACAGCGGATCAGAGGAGGAGCCCGCTGTGGGACAGAGATGACAGTTGCTCTTCAAAAATTATGATTAAAATCGAATTGATTTAAATCAAGCCTTTTTACTAGTGATTTAAATCATGATTTAAATCGTGATTTAAATCGACTTGATTTAAATCAAATCCACCCTGGCATTGGTAGAAGATTCAGACTTTCCTTTTTTGTTGTTTTTTTTTGTTTTTTGAGACTTCCCAATCATGGAAAACATGAGGCAAAATTAACATCCATATTCGTTTTCTTTGCCTCACTAATCTCCCTCCACCATATTGTTGCTCAGCACAGAAAAGCCAAAAGGAATTTCAGGGTAGATGCCTGGATTAGCATAAGACTTTCAGCACCACACATTTGTTTCAGTTATGTCAGAAAGGCCATTCAACAAGTCCTTACAGAGCCGAAAAGTGAGGGACAGAATACACAAATTTGATTTAGGAGCTTACTGAGCTGTGGCCCAGCATCATCATTCTTGAAGATGGAGTGGATGTCAGAATAAATCATTGTTCATGGGCAAATTTGTCATAGAAAGACCTGCCTTTTAGGTGATTTATGAGGAACAATAAATAGGATGTGCTGGTAGGGAGTAATAATATAGAAAGACTAATTAAACTCAGCTTTCACTTAAAATGGAGGATCAGCCTTATTATAAACTACTGTTTGTGGCTGGCAGAAAACACTTTATTTCCCTCTTTCCTGATAAACAGAGGACAAAGATAAACAGAGGTTTTAAACACTGATTTCCCTGCAATTGCAGGTAGTCCTCGACTTACAACCATTTGTTTAGTGACTGTCCACAGTTACAATGGAACTGAAAAAAGTGACATGACTAGTTTTCATATTTATGACCGTTGCCGCATCCCCATGGTCACTTGATCAAAATTCAAGCGCTTGGCAGTTAACATGTATTTATGACAGTTATCAATGGAGATTTTCAGTTATCCAGGTCATAGTTGTCCCAAAGATGCTTTTTAAAGAGGCCACTGGATTTTGTTTGTTATTCTTTGAAGACGTTTTGCTTCTCATCCAAGAAGTTTCTTCAGCTCCTATTCCCATCAGAGTGAGCTGGTTTCTCAGATAAACTTTTCTAATTTTCTAATTTTTCCTTTTAATGTTTTTAACAAATTGTAACCAACCAAAGCAGTGGTGGGTTCCTACCAGTTCAGTCCGGATCTTGTGAACCCGTTGTAGCAGCGGTGGGAGGCTCCGCCCACTTGCCCAACGTCATCACGGACGCTCTGCACATGCACAAAAGCGCCGTGCACAAGTGAAGCGAGTGCATGCGTGTGCTCCCATTGTGAACTGGTAGCGGAGGTAAGTGGAACCCACCCCTGAACCAGAGTCACTGAGAATATAAATTTAAATGTATAAATAACTAGTCAACACCTTGGAGAACTGAAGAAGCTTCTTGGATGAGAAGCGAAACCTCTTCAAAGAAAAACAAGAAAGTCCAGTGGCCTCTTGAAAAAGCACCTTTGGGACGGGGTGAAATCCAGCAGGTTCTGACAGGTTCTGGAGAACCGGTAGCGGAAATTTTAAGTAGTTCAGAGAACCAGCAAATATCACCTCTGGCTGGCCCCAGAATGGGGAGGGAATGGGGATTTTGCAGTATCCTTCCCCTGCCACTCCCACCAAGCTACTCCCACCAAGCCACACCACGCCCACCAAGCCACACCCACAGAACCGGTAGTAAAAATATTTGGATTTCACCATTGCTTTGGGACATGTATTTATGAGAGTTGCAGTGTCCTGGGCTCATGTAATCAACCATTTCTAACCTTCCAAGATGACTTCCAACAAGCAAAGTCAATTGGGGAAGCCAGATTTCTTTAATTACTGCATGATTAGCAGTTATGGCACAAAAAGGTTATAAAATGGGACAAAACTCAGTTAACAACTGCCTTGCTTAACAATGAAAATTTTAGTTGTTCCATTATGGTTGTAAATCAAGGACTACCTATACATATTTATTTTTAATTTCATAGAATTTTAAGTTGTATCATTTTTATTTTTATCAGGAATGATAAAATGAACCATGGCATAAAACAATAATTTTTCAGGATCCATCTTGAGAGGATTGTGTCCATAGAGAGAATTTTATCAACACCAAGAACCATGAACACCAAGATCATGCAATATAACTAATTAAAAATTAGAAAAATTAGAAAAGTTCTGTGACGGAGGGAGAGAAAAATCTTTTTTTATTATTATTATAACAAAAGAAACAGCTTGCTAATACAACTCTTCAGCCACAGCCTGCAGTAATTTGTGGCTATCAATCAAAGACTAGTTATTTATATATTTAAATTTATATTTTGTCTAACTCTCTGTGACTCTGGTTGGTTACAATTTGTTAAAAACATTAAAAAAAAGAAAATTAGAAAAGTTCATCTAAGAAACCAGCTCACCCCAATGGGAGCCCGCTCCACCTGTACCAGGAGAAGAGGCATACTGGAGACCTTGTCATCCAAGGAATTTTGGAGTCTGGGAGAAGGGCCTTTTCTGCTGTGGCTCCCACCCTCTGGAACGTCTTGCCCTGCCCACCCTGAGATCAGATCCACTTGCAAAAGTCCTTGAAGACAAGTCTGTGCCAACTAGCCTGGAGCCCCAATTGGGGTGCAGCACTTGGCTAATGGAGTAGAGAACACCCCACCTCCTCCATGTGTGCATTTTGCTCCCTTCCTCTCCATCCCGCTTAGTTTTATACTAATTGAATTTTAAATTTAAAATCCATATTTATTGTTTTAATGTTTTATAGTGCATTTTAACCTGTAAGCCGCCTAGAGTCACTTTTGGCAAGATTGGCAACATATAATTTTAATAATAAATAACAATAATAAAATTAAAAATCATAAAGAAACATAATAATATCAATAGCATTTATATACCGTTTCATAGTGCTTTACAGCCCTCTTTATACGATTTACTGAGTCAGCATATTGCCCCCAACAATCTAGGTCAGTGATGGCTAACCTTTTTGCCGTCACGTGCCAAAAGTGGGGGTCGTGTGGGGGGTTGTGGGTGTGTGTGCCCACATCCATAATTCAATCTGCCCACCCTCCCGTACATGTGCACGTGACCCCCCCACACACACACTTCCCCCTGCTTTTGGCACGCGATGGCACGGTGGGCCCAGTAGGCCCGTTTTTCCACTTCCCCAGGCTCCAGAGGCTTTCTAGGAGTCTGGGGAGGGCAAAAACAGCCTTCCCCATCCTTCTGGAGGCCGGAAACAGCCAGTTTCCCGACTTCCGGTGGGACCGGAAGGCCTGAAAGTCAGTTGGCCAGTGCATGCGTGCATGCTGGAGCTGAGTTAGGGCAACACTCACGTGCCCACCAATATGGCTCCGCGTGCCACCTGTGGCACCCGTGCCATAGGTTCGCCATCACGGATCTAGGTCCTCATTTTACTGTCCTCGGAAGGATGGAAGACTGAGTCAACTTTGTCAGGATCAAACTCCAGGCTGTGGGCAGAGTCTGCCTGCAATACTGCATTCTAACCACTGCACCACCATGGCTCCTAATAATAAGTGCAATTTCGCAGGTTGACGAGATCACTCCCCTACGGCTGCTGTGGGTAACCCTGGGAGACAGCCTTGAGAGAGATATGTCTGGAACGTGCTCCTGTCTTTGGCTGCTTCATTGGTTTCCCATCCCCCTTGCCTATGGCAACTCGAGAGCAGGCCAGGGATGCTTTGCGAGTTGACACCTGATGCGGCCCTCATAAAATCGAGTTTGCATCGATTTTAGAGCATCTGAGGAGCATCCGTCGCTCTCTTCCTCGATTCACTAAGGTTTAGTTTTTGTCCTTTAGAAAAAAAAAAGAAATGCCAGACAGCACTGGAGGGCTGGATCTGAGAGGGGCATGCCTTTATTCTTTTATTCTCGAGTGGTCTCTTGCTTCCAGGTTGAATCACGTCGGTGTTCGTTTTCTTAGCACAGGTGCAGCAGTGAACAGCAGCGAAAGCCTCCCTCCCTCCTCATCTGTCAATGACATTTCCTCCATGTCCACAGACCAGACCCTGGCATCGGACACTGACAGCAGTTTGGAAGCTTCTGCAGGACCCCTTGGTTGTTGCAGGTGACTAGCCGCCTGCCTGCGAAACCCGACGTTCTTCAGAAGATGATGCAGTTTGTAGGGAGACAAATCTATGGTGATTAGTGAAAGAATTTGATGATGGCAAGGAAGAGAGAGAGAGAGAGAGAGAGAGAGAGAGAGAGAGAGAGAGAGAGATCAAAATACACATACTGATTAAGCAAACAAAAAATCCCTTTCAGCCTGCTTCTAAAAAAAAAAAGAGAGTAATGTAAATGCAGCTAAGCTCACGTGTATATTTAACTTATAGTTGCTCTGCTTTGGTCTTCTTCCAACGATGCTTACTGCACAAAGAGAGAGAGAGAGAGAGAGAAAAGGGGGAAAAAATTAAGAAAAAGAGTGAGAAAAGAGGGGGGGGAGCTTTAAAAGAGCTTTTTTCCACCACCACCCCCATTAAAAATGGCAAAAATTTTAATGGTTGTAAAATCAGCAATCTGCAACTGTCCTTTCTCATAATGGCATGACAAGGTGGACAGTCCCCCTCCCTTTCTGTGTATACATGTGTGCTTATTTAACTGCTCTCTGTTTCAGTTTTGGATAAATATACAGAGAACTGCACATGTATCTTGGTGTACATACATACATACATACAAATATGCATTTGAAGATAACAGTATACATGAAGCTGTGTGTATGCATAAACCGAAGAAGCGGGAGCCTTTTATGTCTACACGCAGCCTGCCGTGGAGAACAACCTCCTGTTGTCGTGTTTTTTAAATGACATTTTCATCTGTAATTATAATCTCAGTGTACAGTACAGCTTGTTTAGTTGTTCCATGGGTTAGTTTAAATTATTTTACGGCTAAAATCCTACAAAGCTCACTTCTGGAGTTGGGGGCTAAGCTGGAAGGAATTGTGTACAATCAGAATCAAAGTGAAGTTTTCTCAAAACCTTGACGGTGTAACATCTTAAAATTCCAGTGTTGTTTTAACAGCAACTTTTGGGGAGGAAAAAAATATAGGATGGTGACTCAACCAATTAGTTATTCATACCCACGACCGTAGGAATTGGTTTTTTAGAATATCCGTCTATGGAAATAGCATGTTTTTCTATGGACGTTGTTAGAAGAGAGCCCTGTTTCTATCGTATTGTTCATGTGAACTTTTTGGAAGCCCTTAGTTGGCTCCTTGTGGATCTTCTGATCCAATGTGTGTCATCTTAAGTGAAGAAGAGAGAATTACAATGCACCATCTTATCTACTGAAAGCGACCATCAGTTTTATTGAAAGGTGTTGTATAAATCAGACAAGTAATCCGTAGCCTCAGTCACATCCTCGGACTTATATCTTGGAAAAAAGTAGCATACTTCTGTCCTAATTTGATCTTGGGAAACTAAAATCCATTAAGCCTAAAAGGTTACAAGATTCTTCTCTTTGCAGAATTGTCATCAAACTGTCAAACAATGATCAGGTTCTACATCAGGGCAGATTGGATGATCTGCTAGGAAAATATGAGCCTTGGTTTTATTTCTTAGATCTGAATAGAGCACTATCACAATCTGGAAAATGTGTATTCCCTAAATGCAGAAACATAATGAAGTCCAATTACAAGAAGATAATATTGCAGGTCTGTTTATTTATAGCAATTTAGCAAATCTGGAGCAGGTCAGTCAATGTGTTTGAGGCTGTGAATGACTTCTTAATTTGGTTTAAAACTTCCTTTTATAAAAGTGTTGTGTATCTAACTACTTTGAGCTTTCATTTTTCCCTACTTGTACCTTTTCATCCAGACAATCTAAGCCAGAGTCAAAATATTCCAAGACATGCTTATGATATTAGTAACTTTAGCAACTTAGTGTTGTAAGATATATTACTTGAGCAAGAAGTTAAGGCAAAAATCTGCCTGCCTCACATGGGAAAATGTTCAAACATGTCATCTGAGGAGTTTGGGAGATGAACGAGCAAAAATGTTCTGGAATGATGAAGAAGCTCCAAAAGACTCCATCTATCTTCTCTGCACATATTCTATATCGCTCGTACCCTGTTTTCAGTCAGACCAATGGTATACTGTATCTGGTCATGAGGAGCAATGTCACAAACCTAGCTTTTTTTCAAAACTTAGGTGTTGAGTCTGTTGATACCTGAATGAATGGTAGGACGGTAGTCTTAACTTTTAAAGGAAATCCGAGATGTTATTAATTTCCCCTAAATGAAGCTAGAAATCAATGCTATGGATTAACCGGTACGGATTGCCATTAAGCCATGTTCGGAATGGCAGGAAATATGAACATCATTCGTTACGTTCCATTTTTGTTCATGAAAAACCTCAACCTTCTTACGTATCCAAGGGGTTAGAGGAATTCTGTTCAATTTCCCAGAGGGAGAGGGAAATTTTGGGAAGATTCATTCCCAAACAGAAGGGAGAAGTCCTTCTAAACAGAAGATGGAAGTCCAATGTCTTCTCCAAGGTTAGAGTCAGGGATTCAACTCTGGACGTTGAAATTCAATCCCTTGTGTAGCCTTCGAAAACACAATCCCAGTTTACCTTTAACAACTGTCATGGTTAGATGATGTGAATCAAAACAAAATTAACTTTCTAGTTAATTTCAGCAAAGACAAATAAACATAAAAGTATGCACAATGAATACGCAGTTGCAAGTCACCCTAGTAAGCATGTTTAAGCCTATTCATATCACACCGATCTGAGTTCCATACAATACTTCTAGAAGTATTTTTAATAATGTAATGTAGTTTCAGTTGTTAAGTAAGTTAATGAGGGAGTAGATTTTTCTTTGAAGAAAAAGAATCAGAAAGTTTAGTTTGTGCAGTATGTATAACAGCAATAAGCAATAGGTTATTACTGCAAATATATATATATATATATAGCTAGATACATATATATAGCAATATAGGGGACAATCTACTAAGTGCCACTATAAGTCATAGCCATGTGGGTAGTATGTGTACAAGAATCACATGCAACTTCCATACATGTCACAAAACAATGGTGCTTAATCTGTTGCCCCCATATTCTTCTCAAAGCCATGAAATGATGTTATCTCATGTGGCATTGTAACTTGAACCCAGCCTGGAAGAAATCCCAATACACAAGAAATTGTAGTATTTACAAGAAGGACAAGTGCGCGTTTGGGGATTCCATAAAGGCAATAACAGAGAAATGATGTTCTAAGCAATAATGGTGTTTGCTTGATGTGTATTTTCTTTCCTAATATCATGGGCAATTAAAAGCCACTTCTCCCCATCCACCATTTTGGTGCTGACAGGATTAAAACCTGGGCGTTGTTTGGAATCACACATTATGATAAGATGTGATTGTTAACTATTACCAGAAATCACAATCAACAGCAAGGCAACTGAGTTTAGAGAAGATACTAAATCACTCAGGACAGTGAAATGCCAAGCAGCATTTATGAAAATAAATAAATAAATAAATAAAATCTCTCTCCACACTGGATATGGCAGATGAGATTTCCACAAAAGCACAAAGTGAGGATGTTAGGACCAAATCTAATCAGCGCATGAAGGATCTACAATTGCTTAAGAAAAATATCCACGAAACTTTGAGACAACAGTCATTACTAATTACTAACAAAAAGGATTTAAAATCAAGCAACTGGTATCCTAAGCCTGTTGTGTCATCTCTTGTCCACCCATCACTTAAAAGTACTGGATGCCATTCTGGGCAATTTATTTCAGAAAGGATATAACCACCATTGTTAAAAGAATGAGGGGTTGATGAATGAGGAATGATTTAAGGCAATCAGGTTCTTCTGAGGATATGTTGGTAAGCTTTGGACATTCACAAAGTGTATAAAGAGAGAAAGCGAAGAAAGATAATATTAAACAGTTGAATGCTCCAAATTATCTACAGAAATAATTGTAGTGGTTATAAATAAAGGGAAATAAGTATTGAACCATGGAACTATAATTAAGATGAAAATGGTTGCAGAATGGCTCAAGGTCAATTCAGAAAGATGATTCACTAAGGCCAGCAACTTTCTTAGTGTTCCAGATGTTCCAACATACATCAAAACTAGAAAATAATCAAGACAATGGCCAGAACATGTAGGATTTTATTGATTGATTGGTCAGTGAGGCTTGTTCATATCTTTTGTGAAGATAACTTCACATAAGTAAAGCAAATTACAATGTGTTCCACTTATTGTCAACTTCAAAATAGGAATGCTGGAATGCGTTACAGGCAACTTAGCTACCGGTAATTGCTGAACCTGAATTAAATAGATTATCAGAATCACATCAAAATATGTGTACAGCAATGTTAATAATCAGTTGAATTATTGAATTGCAGATGGGAATGGAAGGGCATGCAAGGCTGATTTTTATGCAAAAAATTCTAGAGCTAACTAGGAGCAAAGTAATGATATGAAGTGTTTCATTTTATGAGAACTGACAGAAAGGATAATGTCCAACTGACATTATGTGTGTTTAAGATAGTATAATGCAGAATTCTTTATAGCTTGGTGGTTATAGGATGAACAATAGCCAGTTTGACTACAGTAGATATAGAAAGGTTGCAGAAATTGAGTAATTCACAAACAAAGCAATAATTTGCACTTCAGTGCCCTGCTTTAAAAGGCTACTTAAATTGTAGTGTTATTATCTAGTTCACAAGAAGAAATGCCACAATCCTTGCCTTGAATTTGGTGCCCAGTTTTTGGATGACCAGTCAAAAAGGATATTAATATACTAGAATGTTTATGATGAAGTTTCCAGATACCACACCCTAGAAAGAAATATTAAAGAATCGGGTATGGTTAGACTACAGAAAAGACTACGGAGAAGCAATCTAATAGCCAGATTCGAATATCTGAAGGGTTTTCAGAAAGATAAAGGGACAAATTGGCTTTTTATCACCATAGAACAGGGATTAATTATTTCCGTCTGCTGGAAACTATATAGGGCTTTGTACAGCAGGTCAAATTTGAAAGTAGAAAGAATTCAAAAGTGGCTCAGATTTGGGGTGGGGTAGCATGGGGCAAGGTAGAATTTTTTAAAGAGGTAAAA